AGACAATCATCAAAAAGTATATTTAAATCATAAAGATAATCATTTATGGATTCTTTTTGATGAGATTTTTCAATTTTTGAAGTAAAAATTTGTAACATTTTTTGTAAATGAAATGCACTACCTGATGTTGATGTATCGACAAACCAATAATCCCAATCATGTAGAAATATTGAAGGAAAACATAATTTATAATTAAGTTCTTGTCCAAATGAATGTATTAAAATATTAAAAAAATTTTGATGGATTTTCAATAGATTTATTACAAGATAGATCGGTTTTATCAATTAATTGTCGAACAAATGGAATATGTATACGTTATTGTCCAATACGACCATCAATAACAATGATAAGAATAGATTTTTGATTTGATTGTTCAAAACTTTGAAATTGTTCAAGTAATTCACTTGAATTTTCAATGATTGTCTGAACAAAAACAAAAACATTCATAGATATACATCTATACTCACACTTATAACTTTTTCATGCTTCTATTCATTCATACGATGAGGTTTTAAATGTACGAGACCAAGTATATTTTTGATGTCGATCTCAGTATAGAGAAAGAGTGATTACTATTATACGTTCCAAAATATAAGGCACGTGGGTGTTTCTTGAATAACTTTTGATAGGAAGAAGATAGGGACCTGCGGTTTTCAGCGTTCGATAGCCAAGACTCAGAAGCATCTTTTATCAAGCAAGATCTCTTCTCAGGTGAACTCTCAAAAGTGGTTTTTCAGATGGTCTCTGGAAAAATGCGCTATAAACCTACTGACTTGGCTACATATTCTTAATCAACAGTAAAAGACGAATCGATTCATATAAGTATCGAAGGATTTCGAAGATATTTTTTTTTGACGAGCACCCTACCGCAAGGGGTACTTCAAGAACTAAAATGGGTAAAAAAAGTCACCTGGATAGTTCAAAACGATTTCGAAGTTCGTAAAATGACGTTAGAACGCAAAATAATAAGTTGTTAAACAATAAAAACAGCATTTTCACCAACTTCATTTTTTTATGACTTTTGCTGTTGATTAAGAATATGTAGAGAAGTCAGTAGGTTTATAGGGCAGTTTTTGGAAATTCCGCATCGTTTTCCAGAGACCCTCTAAAAAACCACTTTTGAGAGTTCACTTGAGAAGAGACCTTGCTTGATGATAGATGCTCCTGAGCCTTGGCTATCGAACGCTGAAAACCGTAGGTCTCTATCTTCTTCCTATCAAAAGTTATTCAAGAAACAACCACCTGCCTTATATTTTGGAACCAATATTAGTATTTTCTCTCTCTATGATTCTAGAAACTTTTTTCTCGTGATCTTAGTCCTTATACACATCTCATTACACCGTTAGGCAACTCATACTTATAACAAGTACAATATATTCTAGAGAATATCTCAGTTTGGTTTATCGAAAGATCCTTTAATATGAATGTTATTCTTTGAATGACTTACGAGATTTATAATATCGATTTTTTCACTAATGTTCATCATCATATCATTCTCATCATTTTGACGAAATAAATCATTTTTTGATTGTTTATTTAAACTCATAACAAATGATGATGTACGTGTAAATATGATTAATTTTCTTGTCATGATAATATTATTAATTTTTTGATAGATAGCATCATTCATAGTTAATAATTCTCTATCATCTACAGTTAATGATGAATTAGAAATAAATCGATAAAGAAAATTTTCAATATTAAAATGTTCTTGTTGATAAAAATAATTTTGACATAATAATCGAGCTGTATTTTCATCGAATGTTGGTAATTTAAAAATTATTGATTCCGGTGAAATTAATTGCAAAAATTTTGAAAGAATAAAAAAAAGAATAGATTGTTGTTTATTATCTAAATTTTGTTCAATAAATAATTTTGATTAAATAGTTAATTGTGTATAATTTTCATGAATATTTGATAGATAATATTCATTTTGATTATTTCTTTTAATAAATAATAAAAGACGTGAATATAATGTTTCATCATTAAAACCATAAATATATTCGTTTCCAAAATGATTAATAAATGATCGAATTTTTATTTCAATATTTTTCATAAGATTTTGTTCTTCAATAGAAATTTCTCGTAATTGAATTGAATAAAAATCAGCTATACTTAAAGAATATTTTTGAAAACAACTTAAAAATGGTGCTGGAATATCTTTAAATTCACTTCGTTTAATATGAACAATACATTGAAAATTTTCATGTACAATAACATCAATTGTTTTTGGACCAATAGCGACTTTAGAAAAAATTTTTCGATTTTCTTCCGTTGACATAATAGAAAAATTTTGATTGAAAACATCATAAAGTGAACCATGAATACGACCTGTATTAATCATTAATATAGTTTTACCTGTTTCCATACATAATTTAATATTTGATAATATTTCAACATTTCGTAATTCATTATCAATATCATCAGGAAAATCAGGCATACGAAAAATAGTTGTTCGATTTGGATCAGAATCAAGAATACCAAATTGAAATAGAAGACGAACAGCACTTTCATCTTCAGATTCATCAATTATTAATTTATATCTACCATAGAGTCGACGATGTATTGAATCTAATTTCATTGAATTATGTAATATTGTTGGACTATTACGTTGAATTTGTTGTTTTTCAGTAATTAATATTCGAAAATCAGGACATTGTTCTTCAACAGCTATAGCAAAAATATTAACTAATTTATCAAATTCTTCCATTCGAATTCCATTAAAATTATCTTCTAATGCTCGTAATAAACTTTGTGGTGTTATTTCTCCAATACTAGTTTCTTCAATATTATTTATATTTTTTAATTCAAATCTTAATTCTCTTAACATATAAATAAAATCACGATCATGAAATATATGAGGAATATCTAATGAATGAAGAATTCGTCGATAACCATGACATAAACCATAGATAATCTTATCAAGACGATCATTTATCATTGCTTGTCGTTTTTCTAATGGTAAACCCAAACAACCATAAGCTAAGATTTTTTGATCATCTTCAGATGGTAATGAACGATAAATACAAATCATTCGATTAGCATTAGCTGCATCAAATGCTTTATTAGCAATAGCTACAAATGCTACTTTACATTCATCTAAATATGGATGTAAAACTTTTAAAATCATTTTCTTTTCATCAGGTAATGAAGCTTCATCTAAGACAAAAGAATGGATCAATAGCAGGAAGACGTTTACAAAATGGTTTTGATGATAATTGTGAACCTTGAAGATTTTGAAGAACAATTTGAAAAGATAAGGTTTTCGATTGACCTTTGGCAATGAAATAAAAGAAGAGACATATAGTTTTATTCAAATTAGATTAAAATCAATAACATACCAGGAACACCAATAATACATAAAGGTGTTCGTGTAACAATACTAACTACAATTGAAAAGATATGTTCACGAACCTAAAAGAGAATCAAATAAATAAATTAATGAAACAACAAAAGAAATAGAGTATATACAGCTTGATTAATTGCTACTCCTTGTGGAATAAAAAAATTATTAGTATTAACAAATTGTTCCAATTCATTTTGTATAATTTGATCAAAATTTGGTATAGCTTTACAAAGAAGTTCAGATAATTGTTCTCGTGATGGTGTTTTTTTATCATTACGTTGAATATTATCTTCATTTGTTGGAAGTCGAAAATAATAGATTAATGCAATTGATAAAACAATACAACGAATAGGATTAGGCATATAAGTTTTTTGATCATATTTAAGTTCATCATCATATCGCATTTTCCAAAAAAATTCAATTAAATTAAAACATCGTTGAATTTCTCGTTGTGAAACAGA